TGAGATTAATAGTAAGAAATGAGAATATATTCACTGAAAAAATAAAACAAAGAGTTAATTTCATTTAGATATTTTCACTCATCCAATGATTCTAAATCTACATTAAAAATAATTTTCAATAAAAAATATTTTCATGTCAATTTCTAAAAAGTCTAAAAGGTTTATGTTAGAATTCATCATAAAAGTTCATATATAAAATTAATAATGAAAAAAAATGACATAATGATAATGTTACCGCTAACGTTTGCATAAATGATTATTTTTGTCCTTATTTTTTGTTTTTTGAACATTTTAACTCTAAACGTTTCAATTTTTGTCAAAATACTTTATATTAGATAAAAACTATTAATTGACTAACTTTCAACGCATGTTATTGACGTTGTAATTTGATATGTACTCAATTATTGATACGGCTAACTGAAACCAATTTAGTCCAAATCGAATTGAGTGGGTTGAAAATCAATCACATCCGGACAATGAGGCCTGCACAAGAGCAAGAATAAAACCCCTTCGGAAACAAAGTAGTAAACGGAAGAGTACTGTTGCTGCCCTGTTGCTTTGTCATGTTTTTGTTTATGTAATACTGTAAGCAATCTCTCTCTCTATCTCTGATTAATTGAATTTGAAACCCTAAAGCACTCACCCCCAACTGACTCAGTCATAGAATGAGTTGTTAGCATCATGCAGAACTCATGATGTGTCGTGTTTCCATTGGTCAAACTGAAAGCGACCTATCCCCTTGACGATGTATTAGTATGAAATTTTGATAGGATAAATGATGCTGTTTGACGATGATTGATGATAGCAGACAAGAGGAAAAACATAAGACTGTGGGCTTCGAGGTGTTGGATTTTTAAAGTACAATTGGAAACAGTCTTTATAGCTTCACCAACTGGGTTTTCAGCTCACTTTTCTTCTTTTTCTCTGTACTTGTCTGCACTTTTGCATTGCCAATGAATACTGATATTATATCACATAATTTAATTTCGTTTAGTTTAGTACACCAATCTATAATTTTGAGAAAATTATATGATATAATATATACACTATTCTGGAACCTGTAAAGTGCTCTTAGTGTTTTATTTTATTTTTTAAAGGTATCAATTTGAGCATTTATGTTTACATAAACGCATCATTAATTAATTAGAAAAATTTTGAATAAATATTATCTTATAATCATCCCTACTATTTTTATAGTATACACTTTCCAATTTTGATTAACATAATTTTGATTTGAGTTAACCTTTCCAGTTTCCTAGACTTTTGTGTAATTAATAGGGTAAATTACATTCCATTTTATCACTTTGATTTATCATTAAACTTTAAAAATTTTAATTTAATTGTTACATTTTTTTCGCACTCGTTAATTATTTCACGATGTTATCACATGACAATTATCCTTTTAAAACTATGAAGATACCTCAAAACTTTCTTTCAAATTTATGAAAATAGTCGTGAATTCTTCGTTTCTCAAATTTTGAACTTACCTTTTCAAATTATCTTTGATTTTTCAAAGTCATAGTATCTTCTTCGGAATCCCGACAATGGGAAGACGGAAAAGAAGGACATGAGAAATATATTATAATTCCTCAATGGTCTACGTTGGAGATTATATATCAGATTTGTTTTCCTCTAGATTTTGTGTTGGAAATTTGTGAATTTTAAAGAGATTTTGAGAAATTCTACATTGATAGAGTAGTAGGGGACGATGAGACAAGTCGTTATGTACTGAATGGTCAAAGAAGATGTCAGATAATGGCGTTGTCAATTATCATGTGAGATGAAGATTAAACTCTAAGAGTTTTAGAGTTGTTGGGAATATAATGAAATGAGAAAAATAAAAAAATCAGAAAAATACATCATCATATTGTTTCTTATTTAACTCTCGAGAGACCAAAGACGAAGTAATTAGAAAACTGAGTTATCAAATTAAAATTTGTAAAGTTTAGTGACCAAAATAGGAATATGATCAAAGTTGAGTGATACCCTCATGAGATTTAAGTTTCAACTCTCTTTAGGCTGCATTATTTGGTTATGAAATGCTATGAATGTGATCCGCCTTTCTTTCCATTCCTAGGCTTGCATTTAGTTAAGCTAAATCCGTGGGAGAAACTAGGATAAAATATTATGGTCAAATTGTCTAACTTTGGAATTTATAGGATCTAAAATGTAATTTAAGGCAAATTTTCCCTTTCTTCAAAATTGACGGGGACTTAAAATGTAAGTAGTCTGAAAAAATTTTAGGGTCAAAGCTCCTCCTACATCCTTTGTTGCAGGGACGAAACTATAATGAAATTTCATGATGGGTCGAATATAAATAGTAATAAAATGACGGTCCAAGTCTAATTGTTAAGCTATTAGGTTAAAAGTTAAAAATGAAGGAGAGGGTCAACTCTAATTTGTTTAATTCTGAAATTGATAGAGACCTAAAAGGATTTAAGTTGAAAAATAATAGACTAAAGCTTAATTTATTTTGTTTAAGTAATTTTTCAAGTTAATTGCATCATATGTTCATAAACTACGACTCTCATTCTAGATTAGTCCTTAAACTTTTGAACATGTCAATTTATCCATAAATTATGATCCATATTTTAAATTAGTCCCCAAACTTATGAATCTTCCAATTTCATCCCTGAATTCATCCAAATATGTAATTAATTTCAACCATAGTTTAACTTAAAAATTTATTTTTTTAAACATACAATAATATAATTTGGCCTAACGATTTTATTAACAGGGGATGTGATTAGTATATGAGTATAGTTTGAGATGATGTTAAAATGTTCAAAAATTTAGGGACTAATTCAGAATGACTGTCATAGTTTAAGGATGGAGTTAAAATATTTAAAAGTTTAGGGACCAATTTAGAATGAAGAACATATTTGAGGACATATATGCAATTAACTCTTAACTTCCCTTTATGTTTAACATATAAAAAGGGGAAAATAGTGTTTTTCCTAAAACTTGGGAGGGCACATTCAAAAAGAAAACGGATGTTGCTCAAACTAAATCAGACCATGGCCAAACTCCAACGTAGTTTGAAACCGAAAACCCATGCTCAACGAAATCAAAGGAAACATTATCTGACACTCTCAGGTGCATCAGAATTACCCTAGGCTTCTATCTTATCACCAATCACATTGTTCATAAGCATTTCGAAATCCCTACAAAACCCTCATCTTATCTTCAGTGTCAGCAAGATCTGGCCATCCTTAAATGAGATCGGGGAACGTGAACAGAGTCTAATCATTTCCCTTCCATGACGTGTCGAGTTTTTATTGGCTCAATATATAAACAGGATTAAACGGATAATACTAAAAAATAAAATATTAATACCAAATATATATACTATTATTTTAGTATGCCAAATATTAATTTATTTTATATTTATTTCCATGTCCATGTATAAAAATTTATAGACTGTGATTTGATTTTTCAATTACATAAGTTTTAAATTATGTAATTAGGATTAAAAAAATGGTCCTATATATATTATATAGGGTAAAGTACACAAATGGTCCCCTAATTATAGGACATTACTTTGTTCCCTCAACTTTTAAAAGTTACAAAATGATCACCCGACTATTTATATTTTTCAAACTCATATTTTTTTCGATAAAAAAAACTTAATGTCGTATGAGTTGACCCTTGTCATGCTAATTGAGATATGATAATCATTTGAGATTAAAATATCATATTTTTGTATATTTCAGTCAACAAATTAACTTCAGCTCATGTTACAACCAATTTTTTAACATAAAATAACGAGTTTGGAACATCTGAATAGTCGAGTGACAATTTTGTAACTTTTAATAATCAAGAGATCCAACAAAGCAACACCCTTTAGTGAAGGGATTATTTTGTAATTTTTGATACTCAACAAAACAACGTTCTATAGTCAGGATATCATTTGTGCAATTTATCCTATTACTTATTAATCTTTTTATTTTGTAAGCACTAACTAAAGATATGCTATGATTTCTTAACCTTGATTGTAAGATTAAAAATTCAACTAAGTGTATCAAATAATTTATTAAATCCATACATTTCATAATGGTATTTGATGATATGTCTTCTCTAGGGGATTTAGGTTTACGCAACATTATATGTATGGTGTAACTGAGTTTTATCCAACCAGAAGAAAAAATAAGTACAGTAGAGACTAATAAGAAAAATCATGATCTCAACCATCGTACCTATTGTTGTATCAATATCGACCATATCAGTCTAAAATCGATATAAACTAATTCAAGTTTAGTACGATCAAAATTTTTATATGTTTTGATTTATTTTGACCAATGTTAACTTGCAACTTGCACTAGTGATCTCAACTCGAACCGATTAGTATAAGATTTAAATATTTTAAATTTATTTTTTTTAAACAAGAAACTAGCGACTTAAGATTCTATAAGGACCATATAATGAAAAGACTATAAAATTCATCTAAAAAGCTCGAACAATAGGTAGATACAAACATATATGACTATTGCAGTAAATGGATCACGACAAAAGAATTAGTTAATGAAAGATCATCGATAAACGCAAATTAAATCCAAACATCGTGAGAAAATTATCTACGAACGTAGACTACATATCGAAATCCAATTTGATGGTCGAAAACATGAAAGATCGACATAATAACAAATTAGAGTTATTTTAATCAGTCGTGATGACATCAAATCCAAATCTATAAAAAATAAATGACATGAACGGTCAAGCTATAGAAGAAAAACATGAAAAACGTGTCCGAAGATAGATAAAACATGTCATAAAGGTAATTAATACTACAACTACTTATTAATATATAAATATATGAAGTTATTAGGAAACAACAACTGCCGTGTCTCTCACTGGTTAGGTTCCAACTGTCAAGTTCGGTTCCCTTGTAACGTTGCAAAGAAACCATTCGTGAAAGGGTAGTTCGGGGATTCCAAACTTTCTGTACTTATAGCTACCGACAGCTTTCAATCCTACAAAAACATAAAAGGGATAAGAAAGCTTCTCTTGTTTTCACTTCAGCTTCTTTAAAGAGTTAAAAGAAAAAGAGAAAAATCCATGGACCCTGAAACTTTCGCTTCTGGGAGCTTCTTCAAGTGGGATCCAAGAGGAGTCATGGCGCCGGCCCGCTTGATGGAGGCCGCTGCGGCTCCTCAGCCGCCACAAACTGTGGCTGCTTACGTTGGGAGACCCAGGGAGCTCGGCGGAATAGAAGAGTTATTCCAAGCTTATGGAATCAGATACTACACTGCCGCCAAGATAGCTGAGCTAGGGTTCACTGTCAGCACCCTTTTAGGCATGAAAGAAGAAGAGCTAGACGAGATGATGAATAGCGTGTCGCAGATATTCAGGTGGGAGCTTCTCGTCGGTGAAAGGTACGGCATTAAAGCAGCTGTTAGAGGTGAAAGGAGAAGGCTTGAAGAAGATGATTCACGCCGGCGACACCTTGACATCACCACCAACCCTCTTGATGCTTTATCCCAGGAAGGTTCGTTTTCTATAAACAATTTGACGTTGTAAGAATCAAAGACTTGACAGTTTCTTCCATTGTTTTTCTTTCTTTGGTAAAACATACGTTTTTTATGTTTATTTTGTCACATATACCATAACACGTAAAATGTTTATATGATATGAAACACATACCATATTACCAAATTTTAATAGCTGATATGATTTTATAAATATTACGAAGTGATTTATTTTTTAAAAATAGCTATAGTTTTATATTACGAATATTATTTACAATATCGCAAGGACCTTAAAAAAATTAAGGTATAACTATTACACTTCATTGGACAATAATTTAATACTAATGCATAAACACTCTTATCTTTCCATGCAAAAACCTGATCGGCAATTCCTTCTAATTCTCTACATAGGCAAGAGAACTAAAAACCGCAACGTGCAACAATATTTTAACCTAATATATATGTATATATGCATGTATGAATGGATGGATATTGTTTCTTTGTTTTTGTTTATGGGGTGCGAAATGATGAGTGTGAATGACAGGGTTATCAGAGGAGCCAGTGCAGCAAGAGAAAGAGGCGGCGGGGAGCGGCGAAGGGGGGACGTGGGAGATGGTAGTAGGTGGGGGAAGGAAGAAGCAAAGGCGGAGGAAGGGGCAGAAGAAGGTGGTTGAAGTTGATAACGAAGATGAATTGGACGGCGGTGATGATGATGACGGTGACGGCGGCGGCGTCTACGAGAGGCAGAGAGAGCACCCATTCATCGTGACGGAGCCTGGTGAGGTAGCACGCGGAAAAAAGAACGGTCTCGATTACCTGTTCCATCTCTACGAACAGTGCCGAGATTTCTTGATTCAAGTCCAGAACATCGCCAAGGATCGTGGCGAAAAATGCCCCACTAAGGTAACACATTCTATCAGTACTAAAATGATAAATATTATTTGTTTGTGGATAAATTACATGTTAGTATCTAAATTATTATTTTTATTCTGTTTTAATATCTAAATTTTATTTAATTTTCAAAATCACACTTAACATTTAATTTATTATTTATTTTGATATCCGTTGTTAAAAATTTTACTTTGATATTAATTTGTCATTATAAGATAATATCACGTTATTATTAAAAAAATAAAAAATGTCTAATTAAATTTATATTTTGTGAACATTGTCATTATAAATTTTATGAACATTGATTTTTTTTATATCTAATTTTCTTTCAAAAGGAGAACAAATTTTTAAAATTATTAAACTTCACCTTGTACTGTGTTAGGTATTTTAAATTTCTATTTTGTATTCAAATAAATTTTTTAATCTTTGATTTTATACCTAAATAAACTGATTAACATAAAACAACATTTTCTTTGAAATAAAGGCTAAAATTAAATTTAAAATAAAACAAGGACTTGTTTAGATAAAATTAAAAATCTAAAGACCTGTGTAGTTATTTAACAAGTTATAGAATTTAGCAAAATTTTGTCCAATCTTAGAATATTGGATAAAAGCAAAGGGAATCGTAGCCAGCTGTTATGGTAACAATGTGACAAATGAAGTACGGACACTAGTGGGGTCTGGTGGGAAATATGGGTCGAAAATATTTGCAGGGCTAGGGTTTTAGGGCACTAAGTGTAGGGTAGGGTCCCTACGAAGTCTTTTAACTGTACTTTTATCTGAAAATCATCTCCTGTCTTTTTCTGTGTGAAGTTTGTGTGGCATTGCCCTACATGTGACAACTACACCCCCTTCTCCTTTCTAACGACGTTTTCAGAACCTATACACGTTGAAAAATGAACCAAAATATTAATTAATCGGTGACTTTAGAGATATTTTTTAAAAATTTATACGTGAATGGATACAAATAAAATATTGGATACATTTGCGACTGCTCTAATGTTGTTTGTTCCACAGGTGACGAATCAGGTGTTTAGGTATGCTAAGAAAGCGGGGGCGAGCTACATCAACAAGCCTAAGATGCGACACTACGTGCATTGCTACGCACTGCATTGCCTCGACCAGGAAGCATCGAATGCGCTGCGGCGAGCTTTCAAGGAGCGAGGCGAGAACGTCGGGGCGTGGAGACAAGCCTGCTACAAGCCTTTGGTGTCCATCGCAGCTCGACAAGGTTGGGACATCGACGCCATTTTCAATGCACATCCTTGTCTCGCTGTTTGGTACGTCCCAACCAAGCTTCGACAGCTTTGTCACGCCGAACGTAACGGCGCTGCTGCTGTGGCAGCGGCTGCTGGTTCGAGTTCGGTTTCGGGTGGACCTGATCATATGGGGTTCTAAAATGTTTTAGATTATGTATGATAGGTTGGAGTTGGATTGGGAACTTTGAGAATTAACGTAGTTTGCTTTAGTCTCTCTAGTTTTTTTTTTTGGTTTATTAATGCATACTGTTCATTATTTAGAACCGATCTTTAAGCATGGAATAGTGTACTTTTGTTCTAAATCTCATTGTATAAAATATAAATAACAAATATCATATCTAGTGTTGAAAAAAAATCAAGGACAACATGGAAACTAAAAATTTGATTCAGTTACTATTTAAATGTATTCGATTTGATTTAAGTTGATAATTTTAAAAGAATTAATTGCGTTGTACATCTTTAAATTATGACTTTTATGTGCACGTAAGCTTCTCGAGTAGTGAGATAGAGTTCTCTAACCCTAAGCAAGCTCCTCGTCAATGAAGGATCATAGCCGACCGGAAGATAAAACTTATGTTTTCTGTAAGCAGCGACGAAAATTAGTGTGACACCGGTGAAAATACTTCCTTCGGACTTTATGTACACATAAAGCTTCGTTCCGATAAAGAAGAAAACAATGGAGAAGACCATGCAAAGCGTCGGAATCCCAAATAAGTCTTGGTTTGCTCTTATATTCTAAGGAAACGAAAGAATTTAAAATTCATCAGATTTTCATCACACAATTAACGGGTATTAACGGCCGAGTGACCAGTGATAATATTAGTGATTGATTTATAACTTTCATAACTTTAGTTGTAAAAAGAAGAAATTTATTCAAAAAATAGTGACCTTGGTGTAAACTCTTAATATAATTAATTGTGTTATCACATTCAATTAGGTGGTGTTTGTTTTTCTAAAAAAATGTCTTTAAAGCTTTTATGTATGTTCCGCGCATACCACGTAGACATTAGGATTCACAGATAATTTGTTTTTTAGGAGACAGTAGCTCTGAAAACATCTGCGCGTCGTCTTCTTGGCGCGGATGTGACCTTATATCTTCAAAACTCTTCCAACCTCTTCAAAGAACATTAAAAACAAAAATCCTCGCCTAAAAAAGTCGCTTCTCAACTACGAGATGAAATTGTTGAGCAATTAATGCAAAATATTGATTGATTTATTTTAAAAAATTTATTATTGTAGTTATATCGATTATTTAAATTTCAGTATTGTAAAACTAAAATTATTTAAATTTCAGTATTGCAAAGCTCTTTTAAGTTTAAAAAATCAGTTTATTTTAGCCGTCTGCAGACGTTAAAAAACAAACAGTCTTCTTCTTGCAGACTGCAGACTTTTGGTCTACCTCTTCTGCTGCAGATATGATCCGCACACTACATACATTTTACCTCTGCAAAAATAAACAACACCTTAGTGTCGATTACTTGATTAGAACTTGAGTTTGATGAAGACTTGATAGATATTTTGTTTTCTTGAGAGAAACAGTAATTCTTCTCTTGGTTTATTGGGCAACTCTTAATATAAAACTCGTCGGTTTCAGAATTCTTAAATCCATTAACTGTTACTGTTAAGAGCATAGGTTTGGATTATTTTCCCGCCAAAAATGGAGAATCGACGGAGATTGCAGTATCCGACGTCTGAATCAACGGCTTCGATCGGCGCTAAGCTTACAAGACTAGTTTCGCGGCATGATCAAGTGAAGATTGCTTATCAACAGCTGAAATTGCAGATCAAATTCGGTTTGGGCGAAGTATCTATTTACTTTTGCTTATCGTGATTTTTATCGTTTCATTTATGTTTGATAAATACAAACGATGAATCGGCGTTGATTTTGTTTTAATTTTCCAGGCGGAGGATGTGTTTTCTTCCTTGGCGATTCCCTTGATGAAGCTGGTTGGATTGAAAACAGAAGAAATGGCCGAAGAGGGACGATTCAACACGGTCGTCGTGGATGCTGATTTCTCTTCCGTAATACCTAAACCAGTAAAATGATATCAGAAAACAGTGAACAACCAACACTTCAAAGATTAGGTTTCAAAATCGAATTTGATTTCATTGCAGGGCCAGGGATTCCATCGGAACGGTTTCACAACTGAGATATCACCGACTGTAGCTGGAGGAGAATGGAGCAATGAGACCTACAGAAAGGTAGTTTAGTTGATAATTTTTCATTTTGCAAGGGCATTTATCAATTTCAAAATTTCAAAACTTTTGTTTTATTGTTCATTCTAATCTTTGCTTTAGCTTATTATGAGTTCAGTTAGGGAAATCTGGTGTCCACTTTTTGTACCTAAGTTCAGCCTGGACTCTTTATCTCGTACCTAACCATTCTTTAGCTGATTTTACATTACGAAAGTTGGAAATAAGATCAAAATACACAAGAAAAACGTAGCCATGAATGTTGGGTTTATGGTGATGTTTTAGTACATACCTTTCCTTATAAATTACATTTATATGTTATAAATATATATAGTTCTATGAAGATTTCCTTACTCTTACTTCGAAATTGATTTGGATTGAGATTCTACCGTGAACAGTGTATAGTCAAAAGAAAATTTAGTGTCATTTATATTATGTAAAATTTTGTATGGGGTCCCTATGCTATACTCAAATTTAGCAATGTAACCATTGTACTTTATTTTCTCATAGTTTGGTCCTATTATATTTATATTCTGTGTTAGTCCAAATCACTAACATGGTAAAACATTTCCATTATTGGGCTGATGTTGAATTATATTTAAAAAAAACTCAAAATCTGAAATTCCTATCATTTAAAAGGTGATAATTAACTTTTGCTAATTTGTAATTTAAAAGACCACCTCAGCCTCATGATTTAGATTTTAGACCGTTCTTTCGACTTAATTTTTAACGGTTTTAGCGATTAGGACTAAGGCATGAATAATAGCTGGAGGATCAACTATGTCAAATTAAAATATAAAAATTAATTTTCAAATTGAGATAGTATAAGGGAAAAAACCATAATTTCACATTTATCTTGCACATCATATAACCTAGTTTTTTATCCTTGCAGGAAGAAAGCAGTGCTGTTAAGGCAATGATAGCAGGCAAAGAATTTTATGAGAAGCAACAAACACAATTAGTGCAGCTTGTCCACCTGCTTAGACAAGTTGAGAACCGAGTCAATTCTCACCAAGAGGACATTCTTCAAACCCTTGGCACTCAGCGGGACTCCCTCCAAAACCTTTTCCGCGAAGCAGTTTATTATATATACGCTGTCCATAAACAAAACCAAGACATCTTTCTAATCACACTGAAGCTCTTACAACACATATTTGATAAAACAAATGCAGTGCTTAGTTCAGTTGAGGACAACATGCAGGGACTAATGGAAGATTTAGCTGAAAGAATGTGTATCCCAATGGTGGAGTACGTCAAAGGCCTGAAAGCTGACTTGAAGATTGGAACATGTGCTCGTCTGCTGGACTCTTGGGATGAGATTGAAAGATCCATGAGAAGTGGTAGGATTGAGTTAGAAGAAGCAAGGAAAATGTTCCGAGTAGCAGAGGAGGGGAGGATCAAAGCACTGTGCAAGTTAAAGGAGACAGAAGAGAAAGTGAGGAGAATGAAGGAATACCATGAGTTCCTTGTTGCAATTCAAAAACAGCATATTGCTCAACATGCCTCACACAAGGTATAATTTTCAGGCTTTTTTGCTCTGTAGTTGTGGTTAATTGCTTCGTAGACCAGAGAGGCGCATAGGTATAGCTTTTTGGGCTGCCATTCACAGCTAAGCGACCAACCAAGTGGTAAACAATTGCTGACCCATAGGCCCCAATAACTTGATTTGAGTAAACTAGTAATTCATTAATCAATTAGTGGTCGTCAAAACGATAGTGAATCGTTTGCAGTTACTTACTTACCTCTTTGATTTACTGAGATCTGGTGAATTCCTCATTGAGTTCAGAGATTTTGAAGTTCTACTTCCCAGGTTAAACAGTCGGATTAATGATGAGAAAACAAACTTATATATAGTTCTTATGCATGGAGGAAGCTGAAGGAAACAATAACAATCAAGTGTGGGAGCTACAGTGGAAAACGAGGAGGTTCCGAACACCTGGGAGTCCAATGGGACCTAAAGAACTTCTATACTCTGAGACCAACAACAAGCAGCATCAATCTACAAGAGCAAGGCCTTCATTACATCACAGGCCAGTCATTCAGAGTAATTTTCAAGCTCTGGGTTCAGAAACTCCATGCCTCGACACACGAATCCCATTAGGCTTATCACCTTCATCGGCAGTTCAGCACGTGGGTTCACGCAAGCGCATCAACCCTTGGCCCCTGAATCCTTGATGACTCGCAAGGTTAGATTGTTCTTCACTATTTCCAATTTCAATGAGCGAATGGACCCTTTGTTATTACCCTACTATGTGTGTATGCTTTGGGGAAAAGATTAGGAGCATCTCAAACCAAGCATTTGATTAAACATGCTTTTAGTTTTCATGTTTTAATGTGTGTCCTAACCATATTTTGACCCGATCAAACTCGGATTGAATTTGAATTTGAAAAAAATTAGTTCTATTATTACATATGGATTATTATTATTATTATTATTTTTATAGAAAAATGAAAGGAGACCATACTTCACCCTCTCTGAATCACGGCTTGCAATCCTCGACCCCAGCCACCATCTTCAACTTCTAAGGCACCATTTACACCGCACCTAATCACCATCAATCTTCAATCATCGTTTCATCTAAAATCCACAATGTTGTTACTGAAACCACGCCCCTAACTCGTTGCTATTGGAAGATTTCAAAGGCAGGTGCAAAATTTTACGTTAGGAATACAAACATTTAAAATTTTAAGGGAACGGACTTATAAATTTCCTAGGGCGAAAACATATTGAATTTTTTTTAAGAAAATAGGAAATTTTGTTAAATTTGAGCTCTCACATTTGAAGAAAAGGGGATAATATAACTACAAGTCCACAAGGAAGCGACTTAGCACAAGTATCCGCGATACCTCCACTCATTTTCTAGGCTAATGAAAACATCCGCCATCATCATTTTCAGACAAAACCTTCTATATCCCCTGTTGCTCTTACTAAGCACAATCTGGCAAATATCGGAATATATATATATATATTCATGTTACTTGAATTCGAGTGTAAATATCATATCTCGATGTCCAGGCATCTTACTGAAAGGTCAAACATCGAGTATTTCAAGATATATGAAGACTCCAAGTGCATCTCTTCTGCAATATTATTCGAACCAAGTTCCTATTTTCGAGTGGGAGCTCAAAGAATGAAAACAATTCAGCACAAAATAGACATCTAGGATGTATGTTCCAAAATATAGCAATAAGAGAGGACATAAAAAGAGGCCAAAGAATAACAAAAGTATTTCCATTAAAGAAAAACAAAGTTCAGAATTTTCACAACTAGAAAACTTATATGTGTTGTTCGTTGCTCCCTCTCTCCCTCTCTTGGAGCAGTTACACCCCAAATAGACTAACAGAAGGCATCATACGAATTCTGAAACCTCCGGGACAAGAAAAAGAAATTAGCGTAACCCGGGATACAAAACAGAAACAACAAAAGGATCCCTAAGGTCTTGCATAAGCACAGGTACTTTCATACAACTCGATACCCTTCGGTCAAAGACTATCCAAAATTTGAAGCTACTATTACATCGGTCTCTACACTTGGAATGGGCTTCGATGAAAAACAAAATTTGTCGAGTTTAGTTTCGGTTATACATCTTGGTTCCCGGAACTGATTCTCTATATCTAAAAAAAGTCATCAGGCCATCATCAAAACACAGAGTAGTTTCTACTGAAAAAAAGAGGTTTAAATACTTGGAACTTGGGAAGTTAGAGATGGATAAGCACACTGTTCAATCAGAATCTTTGGAAGAACCCGTCCATGAGTCGACCCCATTGGATAAAGTTGAAGAACTACCTTGCCGGTGGTTCTCGTCGTTACCCATGGTTCGAGGTCTTCTTGGTCTTGGTCGAATATTGGTACCCATAGGAAAGGGCTCCTACAAAAAAAGGAGTTAAATGCTCAAAACATCCTTCACTATTACAGATATAAGAAAAGGTATACCGCACAAGTCAAATAAACAATGAGTTTCGGAAAACAAGAACGAAAAGAAAAATCACATTGAGCTTATTCATGGTGTCAAGACTCAAGATAAACCTACCTGATCACCAGCATTTGGACCATTAGAATGGAAGAGAATAGGGCGGCAACGTTTATCTTCATTCATCAAGCTTGAATTCTGAAAATGAGTAATAAGAGCAGCCTTTCCCTGGATCCTAGCATACGCAATAGATGCAACCTTTTCACTGTTGAACTTCTCCCATTTCTTGCCGTTGAATGCCTGAAAAGGTGTATTGGTTTAACCCGAAAATAAAACTGGACGAGACACATGGAAATGTGACAATACTTGCACAGATAAGAGATATTAGTGTGATTATCAAACCTTATAGAAGGGAATGATCTGTTGTGGATCGATCATGTTGATGAAAGCATAGCCTACATTGCATTTATTCTGCAAAAGTTATTTGTAACATTTACAGCTAATAATAAATTCAACTACAAGTAAATGTAGCACAACCAAGTATGTATCAGGGTGTTGAGGTTGGGAAATGCCCGATTGACTAATTTACTTACCTTGAAGTCAATTGGCAAGTAAATAAAATCGTAAGTTCCTCGACAGTGCTCATCAATGGCTGCCAGAAGCATCTTTGAGGTATACCTGCAAAAATTACCATTTGAGTGGATAATCAATTTGAAATCTGAAGTATGATCACTTCCATAACAACAAATCAATGATTTTAGTATTCACCACCCTCTGCTAACTCACTTCAACATATTACTAGAAATGGAAAAACCAATTGAACCAAAGAAATATGTCAAGTAGTCAAATAGAAAAAAAAAATTCAAAATTGATGGCCCGTCATTAATTACTCCATTTAGGAGCAATGATGAGAATTTAAAGGCAAACAGCTGATAATCATCACAGACTATCTGCAACTTTTTTATCATCCATCGTGCAATTTTCCTTGAGCATAAGAAAGTGTAAATAGATACAATATCTTGCAATAAAACTATTGTAATAGGAAAAAGAACAACTCAAGACATTAGACATAAAGAATAAAATGATAGTGATTTGCAAGAGGAGCAGTTCACATACTTGTTGGGTATGTTTTTAATCATAAGGGTTGTTCTGCTATCTTCCCCGCGTATGATATGGTTAATATCAAGTTCATATTGTTTCTTATCAGTGTTGCTAGAATTTGATTCATTTCTACGGTGCGAAAGGCTTCTAACACGATCATTAGGAGAATCAACAGATGCTGGCATTGAAATCATAGGGTTCCTGCCAGGGAATAGGTTTCCTATCTGCTGAGAAGAGTGTACCCCACCATTTTTCGTCAAATCCATACAATTTCCACCAGCATGAGAAAAAATGTTGTGAAAAGCAAATTCCAAGGGGTGTGATAGCGAATTACTGGGAAAGCGCATGCTTCCAAGAGACCCCAGGTGAAAACCTGAAGCTTCAGGAGACTCCCCGGCATAGGGGTGCCGCCTGTCCCAGAAAGCAGAATTAACTGGTGGCGCAGAGCCAGTGTGGTGGTGGACAGGTGACCCTACATTCAACGTTACAGGAGTCCTAGGAAATGCAGTGATATGTTGAAGGCGGTTAGCATGAATGCTATTGACAAATGATGGCGAATTTGGCCAAACCATAGCACTTGGCAGATCTTGCTGGCGCAAGTTGGAACTGTTCAACGAGTAATGATTTCCATTAAGTGGCAAGCTTCCATTTCCAGGTGACCCAAAAACTAGAGAGATTTTAGTAGTAACAAAGTTAGCAAAGGCAACCCAAGATACTGAAGTTCAAAACATAAGAAGCATAACTGAATTCAAGAAGAAAGAAGAATTACATCTACCTCAAAAAAATAACATAATAAATTATGAGCTTTATAAATATATTAACATACTGACTTACGAAACTCATATGAATCTACAAAGGAGTGCAACAAAGATGCAGGAAAACATTTTTAATTAATATTGAATACCATAATCAGCTGAGCTTACCTCCTGCATTTGGTTGCATCAGTTGGCCATTTGATGGTGGTCCCCTAATGTGCCTATTATCAAGTCCTTCAGCCATCATGGGACTGGCACTGCTAGCCATGTCTGTTATGGTGCTATAGGAGTTGAATGAAATACCATTGACTAAGCTATCATGACACTCAGGTAAGGAATGGGGATGGAAACTTGGTACACCTTGGTTATCAAACTTCACTTCATCTAGAGAGTGGTCAGGCTCCAGAAAGCTTATTTGTTTTCCTATAGGCACCGCTCTTGCTGGAGAGGCTAAGTTAATCGGAACACTCGAACTTCGAGGGGGTTCAACAAATGTACTCACAGGTACAACCACCTGGGTAGACCCATTATCCATGCAGCCAGATGCAGTTATTCCTAGAGAAACTGTCAGAATGAATCAGAAAGTAGGAACCATTAGGCAATAGAAAATTTTGCTTTGAAACAACAGTTTATGATGAATTCATAAGATTACAGATATTAAAGGCAGAGCATACCACCGTTGCCTGATAATAACTCATCAAAAGTGTTTTTGCATAGATTAGGTTCATCTTGCTCTGACTCGGGCTGTTGCATAAAGCTGCAAAAGGAACTTTGAATTACTATTTTATAGAGGTCATAGAAAACAGTACTTTTTTCATTTAAAAATATAAAGAATAAGGAAATGAATACAACTTATATAACAAAATGCAAATAAGGTATCTAGAAAATGATCAAGCATGATCTACCAAATTCATATTGAAGTACGGAAGTAGTAAAGCATAGAACGAAAATTTAATAAATAAATAAATAAAAACAAATTCCCTCTTTCAGGAGCCAGGATAATGGGAAAGGGGGGAAACTCTTCAAAAAGAAAGTGAAGGAAAAAGAACCAGTTTATGATATTACCGTCTAACTCCCCATGGACGGCTTGGTTCAAGTTTGATCTGCTTCCCGGCAATATCACTCCTATTCAGAGCATGGAAAGCAGCTTCTGTAGCTCTAACATCATAAAACTCTATGAATTTATGGTCATGCTTGTGTGCAATTTCACGAATCTGCCACACAAATTAACTGCATGACTTATACATTATCATCAAAAAATAAGTAACATTTGAAGCTAAAAGAAGTTGAATGAATTCTTTACTTTTTTTATTTCTCCAAAAGCACAAAATATTTGTTGAAGTTCATCAGTTGAAACAGAAGAATCAAGGTTGAAAACCACCAGCGTCCCTTGGTTAACATCTTTTTCATATTGATTTTCCTGAGGTCAAAAGAGTTTGAAAAATAAAAGATAAAGCAGCAACATGTCACATGAAGATTCACCAACAAATTGGACAAAACAAGGTTGTAAGTTGAACCACCAGTGAGGGTAACGGCAATAAAAGTAGGCAATAACCATCCAGAACAAATTCGTTGAAGCCAAACCTTTGGAATTGAATAATGTATATCCAGTTTCCTAAGCTTCAATGATTTATTTTGCAGAGCTCTCATTGCATTTTGAGCTGCCCTTATATCATAATAAGAAACCATAACAAACCCACGATGCTTGCAGGCAGTATAGAGAGTTCGGATATCTCCATATTGCTGACAGAAGAAAACAGGTTGGTCAATCAACTTACTTGAACATGTACCCTTTAAAACGAGAATTGATGGATTTTCAAGCATATGGATTTTAAAACAGTGTAACAGATTGAAAGGAACACGAACCTCAAAGAGAGCCTTTAACTCCGAGTCTTCGGTATTGCTATTAATGTTCCTAACAAAAAGTGTCCTAGAAGGATGTTCACTTACAATGAAGCCATTTGAATTCCCCTGACCGTTCAATACTCTAACAAGATCTGAATTCCTTGGAACCATGGATACTCGATCATCTAACTCCATTCCTCCACCACTGCTGAATAGATCAAAGTCTTCTAGTTCGTCTCCTTTACTGGCATGAGTTTTAAGTCCCAAGTCACCAATCACCCCAGAGAAGAGATCATCTTCATCAGGAAGGAGATTCCCAATAGTCTGTGCCTCAACTTCTTCCATATGTTTGAAAGGTTCTTCCTCATGGTGTGAAGCAACTGAATTGGCATGTTGACAAGGTAGATCATTCCCCAATAATCTCACTGCATAAAGAGAAAAGCAAAGAAAATAACAGAAAAAATTATAATTTATTCAAATAACAGAGAAAAAGTGCAAACATAAAATTCAAAAATAAGTTGCCACATTAGTAGAGACACCCATCTACATGACACAAGGTTGATGCAAGTAGATAAAAATACTTACAATTTCTCTTAAATATTTCAGAGAATGAACTTGAAAACAGACTACTTTCATGCTGGATCACATTTCCATTGGTGCTGTTTCTATTCAAGTTCACTGCTGGTTCAGTATACAAATTTGGTATTGATTTTGGATCGTGATTCACAGAATTCCATGAATGCGCCTCGGACAAATTGGTAATTCCCTTCCAACCAATGTTTACCCTATCTTCTTGATCTCTTGCCAAATTTGATGGGGGTAATTCCATATGCTCGGCAGACAGTTTTTCCAACGGGGATGAACTAACGACCTTGTCTGCAAAGGCCAGAAGTTTTTTCACACAGGAAACAAAACCATGCACAAGGTTTCTTTTAACAGAACAGTACAAAAAAGTTTTCATTTAAAACATTCAAGATTTAGGAATTATTTCCGAAGTTTTACATATGACACCAGCAAAAATTCCACAAAATATGAAACATATTTGCTAAAAAGAATAAGAAAAATAAGTAAACTTACTAAATTAATCGCGTTAACATGATGAAGGGACAAACCCCATGTTCCAAGAAAATCTCTCTAGAGGGTCAATTAAGACAATAAATACAGCATTTGAAAAGGGAAAAATCTAAGACTGACACCAAGTTTTGGCTCTTAATTACACCAAGTATATCAAGTGATTTTGGAAATAATATATTTGAGCTATTCACTCGATCATGAAGGTTAGTAACAATTCTTAAATACATTCTAAATGGCATTCCTAAGTCAGGGCCCATATCTTGTCACAGTAACCAAGAGAAAGAACTGGTCATCTATTAAGTTTAACTATAACAAAAGTTATAAGTTATGCTTTTCTGATCTGAGCCTGCTAACAAGAAATAGACAGCCAGTTGGACCCGTCAATGCATTTAAAATAAACCGATTAGCTGCAGAAAGTATGAGCAGTTCAACTGTCCATAGCACTGTTCTCACCTTGATAATCAGACATGGTATTCGGTTTCCAGAATCCAACTTGTCTCTGCCCAACAGAAGTAAATGTTAAAGCAACATAAAATGAATTACTGTTTTCTGCAACAGTGACTAGAAAATGGTCACAATTCAAAATGAGCACATACAGGAACCCTACCATATCATCTAGAACAAGAAATGAAGACCCAACTAATAAACTCAAAATATAAAGCAAATTATAAAATTGGTTGTATGATTGTTCCCTGGAATACCTCAGCAGGGAAACGAGTGTCTTCTAAAAAGTGGGATGATGCCACTTCATTCCTTTGATCCATGACCTCAAATGGCATTCTTCGGCTTCAACACCACAAATCTGAAGAACTGAAAACTAAAAGCCCAACATTCGCAGGTCGCTGTTCCGCCCGACTTAATGCCCCTACTTGGAAAGCATTCAACAAAAAACAATTCCTGGTCAATTAATTTGCATGTTTTAAAAAAATAAAGATAAACATTATATTCAAAAGAAGTGAAGACCAGATATAAAGCTGAATACTTTCTTAAAAAATTGACAACTTCAAAGCATTTCTTAAAGAAACATAGGAGGGAGTTTTTTTTACTTCGTAAGAATTCAAATAAGTTGATACAATATGTACCATCAGATATTAGTTCACTTACCAACCAACGACAATTTAAAAAAAGCGTAAATCCTAAATTATGAATTTATGAACACAGGAATGAGGGGGGAAATTAAATTTAACGGTGAATAAAAAACATGCATGATGCTGAATAAAGGTGAATTTTCCCATTAAAAAATAAAATTCCTCATATTCAAATTATAGTCTTCTCTTTCCTACGACATCTTTTAAGCAGTTTAAGTAAAACAAATGATTTATTCAGCTTCAACCATAAAAAAGAAGAAAATTCTACGAAATCGCAGATCAGATAAAGGAATTCAATCACGAAAAATGCATAAATTCTGAAACTAACCTACAAAATTGAGATTAAAAAAAGCTTCTGACCTCAATGAAACAGAAACCAAGCCTTACCTTTTGAACCAAAACTCTTGAAAATTCTGCGAACCGTTTCATGAACTGACACCCGGATTGAAAGCAACACGCAATTTAATATTAAAAAAGAGCAATTCCGAGAAGGAAAAAAATTCAAGGCATAAAAGAAGAAGATAAAGCAAGGGATCTAATCATGTTTTTTCCTGCATTGCAAGCCATTACTCGCCACACGAGAGAGAATTTTTTTTTATAATTATTTTTGTCTCTGTTTTCTTTTACAAAACCATAATTACATTATCATTTGATATCAATTTTTGAAAAATAAAAATGAAATTTAATTCTCTCTCACTCTTTCGGCAGCTCGATACCGAGAGGCAAAAGAAATTGCAAAATTCCGACGATCAAACAAAGCGAAATTCCGGCGAGATGTGGATTCTCGCCGGTCGCTCACCGATGAGTTTCTTTTAGGAAGAGAAAACAATTGAACAGATAAAAATAATTAGATTTTGGATTTTAGATAGAATGATAAAATAAAATAAAATTAACGGAGGAAAAAAAAGAGTTGGATTTGAGAATAAATAAATATGCAAATTACACTATAGATCACTTAACTATACATAAATAATCATTTCTGGACATTGAACTTTCAAAAAATACAAAATGATCATTACATTGATTTATCTATTATAAAATAATCACTGTAATATTGTAATAAAAGTAAATATTTGATAAATTTAATGATCATAGTATAAAATTTTGATATTAATGATCATTTATAAATAAAAATTAATGATTATTCTATAAAAGATTGATAAATTTAATGATAATTTTGTAACTTTTTAAAGCTTAATGACTAAAATTATTATTTGATCATAGTTTAATAATTTCTGATGTATTTTATCCTAATTAATAAATGAAATAAAAAACAAAACATAAAAAGGATATTTATATTTTATATTTATTTTATTTTTATTTCTGGATAAAGAAAAATAAGATCCGTCCCTTCAAACAGAACTGCAAATTTTAGTAGTTAATAACGGCGTTAGGGCTCTATCGTTTACGCTTCTCCTCCGCCCATTTTTTTTTATATTAATTACCGCTATTCAATTTATTTATAAATTATTCCTCAAAAATTTATTTATTAATTAATTCAAATTAAAAATTATATATGTTTATTATAAAATAAATTTTTAAAGTTATTTTATTTTACACTTAAAAAAATCATCAACTACTAATTTTTCCCATTTTTATCTGTTATTGTAATATATATATATATATATATATATATATTTATTTATTGTTAAGGTGATTATAAAGTAGTATCTGTTTTAAATACTCTTAATAATTTAATAATAAACATTCAATAACCTTTGTAGTCATTGGTGCTCGAACCCATGATCTTTAGAAATAACAACGATTCCTTTAATCACTGAGGTAAGTTGGTTCGTGCTTGTAGTATATCTCTCTTTTTTTTTCAGGTTAATTCATTATTATATATATATATATTTATATTAATATTGATGAAATTTATTCTTTACTGTTAATCAGTTATTTTATTTAAATTTTTATATAATTTCATTGAGATTCATATTTTTTTTATATTTTTATCTATTCAATAAAATTAAGTATTATTATTTATTTAATAATTTTAAAACTACTTTTAATATACAAACAAAATGTTTAAGTTAATAATAAATTTTAGAAAATCAAATAATGGTGGGCGATTACCATTTGAAGATGCCGGCTGAGCAACGTCGGGTTTTTAGCCGGCGCCGTGTTAGTTTCGTAAGCTTAGCTGGACGCCGCGTATGAGATTTACGTCATTGTCTAAAATTTCCACGTGGCAGTCAATTATCAGTACGTCAAACTCTCATCTCAAGATTTTATTTATTTTTCTCATAAACTCATTTTCTATAAATATTAATGTTTAATTTATTGATTATAATTAATCTGAATAGAATTATGTTATAAGGACATTTCTATAAATGCAAATAAAGAAAATATTGTTCTCCTTATAATTAATGTAGATCTAAAAATACTCGAAGGTGAAAGTGTTCATATTGAAATTTAAACTTTTTTAGTTATTTACTTATTTTATTGATAATGTTCATCATTCGATTTTATTTGTATCCATTCATTCAAAAAAAATTGTTATCAATATATGTGTGCCCACAATAAAAAATATTTCTGAATCCACCACTGTTTATAATTCAGAGAGATATCTTATAAATACAACTGCTCGAATTCAAAATTTATTAAAAAACAACATTCGTTTTACCACCGAAATTACTTAATAAGTTTTAATTATCCAAACTTAAAAGAACCGAACCAAAACCTTAATGATAAAAGGATATCAAATATGAAGCGTAATTTACAACCACAAAAATAAAATATACCTAAATTAGGCGGAATAATACGATCCATGTGATAATGGATCAAATCATCAGCCTAAGCCATTATCTTTCCCAACATGCTCTTGTCTGTTCTTTTTCTTTCTCAATATTGGTAATTTATCTAATCACGGTTACAACGGTGGATTATTTTATATAAATTCACAATTATTATGTAGTTTATAAACAATTAAATGAAAACTTAATTAGCATATTTGTATCCAATGACAAATGTATGATTTTATACCGAATACGAACTTACAAAAATTTTAAGGGTAAACTTTTAAAATTTTCAAAAAAATGATTACCCTCGGCCGTCTTCCCTAGGTCCATCCCTTTTAGTATCCAATTTTTAAACCCGGGTCAATTCTTTCTACACCCTTTTAATAAATAAAAATTCAATAATATATATTATAAATATTTTCATTCTTTTAAAAATAAGCAGTGTTCTCTCTTGAGATTATGGGATGAACAACTACGTCTGCATAGTGTGTTGTCAATAGTTAAAAAAATTATAAACAATTACTACATTATAATCACCTCAGACTATTAAAAAAATTAAAATTAACATTAAAATATTTAAGAAAACTCAATTAACATTAGTTAGTTATTATAATCAGAATGCTAAGATATTTGAATTGGATTCACTCAAAAACTCGAGTAATTTGAACTCGGCTTAATAACTAACAATCTGGTAGTACAAATAATCACCAAGTAATTTAACCCATATAAATTTGAAGAGAAAATAGATTGTATTACAAATTGAATTACCATTCATCATGGTTTTGCATATTTTTGTAAGTTTATAGTGTGTAACAGACTTGTGAGCCATGTCCAATATTTGCAGATCGGGTTAGTTATCCAAAATCTAGAATCAGAGATCAGGGATATGCACAATACCTTCGATAGCCTTGTCATCTTTTCTGGGTACTTTCTTCCGCTTCCTTTCACATTGGGGTTCTTTCGCTTTAAGCTCATCGCGGAAAGACCTCAAAGACGCAGCTAAATGTTCATTTCTATGAGCTGAAAATTGAAGAGAGTAGATTTTATGTTTCTAAGGATCTGATCAGATACGAATTGGCTACTTCTAATCTGTCAATACGAGATGGACCTCGACGAGGCAGCTAAATGTTCATTTCTATGAGCAGAAAATGGGAGAGAATAGATTTTATGTTTCAATGGATTTGAAAAAAGAATACAAATCGATATGAAACGGACCACAAAGAAGTAGCTAAACGTTCATTTCTATGAGCAGAACAATTGAAAGATTTTATGTTTCTATGGATCTGAACATATACAAATTGGCTACTTCTAAGTTCTAACCTGTCGATACGAGACGGGCATCGACGAGGCAGCTAAATGTTCATTTCTATAAGCTGAAAATGGAAGAGAATAGATTTTATGTTTCAATGAATCTAAACAAATATGAACTGCCTACTTCTAGTCTGTCGATATGAAATGGACCTCAACATATTGATATGAATCAGCTACTTCTAAGTTCTAACCTATTGATATGAAAAATGGACATGGACGAGGCAACTAAATGTTCATTTCTATGAGCTGAAATTGATGTAAATAGGTTTTATATTTCTATAGATTGGAAGAAATACGAATCTGCTACTGTAAAGCATTGATATGAAAGAAGCATGGTCTCTCTCTCTCTCTCTCGAAATAAATCAGTACATCGAAGATGAGAATGGTTGTCAGTTGTCACTAACTCAAAATAAAAGCACAAGAGAATAAATAAATCAAGAAAATTATTTGAGATTAATGACACACTCACCAGAAACTATAACATCCGCCATGGTTACGGATTTACGACCAGCATGGTGTGCAAATAGCTCAAGGTCTTTTGCCAGCTGACCTGCAACTCAAACAGCCGAACAATTCATTGACTTGAGAGAACTTTTTAGTAATAATGTCGAACAAAACAAAGGATGATACAACCAACTGCAAATTTCTCTCCTTTCCCAATTGAAAATCGTTTATTATTTGTAGTTATGTTCCCACCAGGTATACTGAGAATACTAAATATACAACCATATTCAAAATAACTTGAAATTGTACAATAATATAACCAACAGCCTTAATGCTCGAGCACTAATGGGCATCAAGTTCCAGTGGTGTCCAATGGTGCTCTATATCATAAGCCATCGGAAGCTAATGGTCCTCGAGCACCGGGTGATATTTTTGGTTTCATGGCAACCAAGATTGTCACACAACGAAAGTATACCCAAGGCCCTCGCAAATGTAGAAACAACTTTTACATTGTTAATACCAAGTTCATAGATATTGCAAATTGACAAAAAATCCAAATAATTTATTCCTTCAACTACACCATTAAATCCAATAAAACAGCGATTATATAGAAACCAAATATAGTGAATTCGAGCATTGAGATGTTTTCATAGAAATAAGAAAGTAGAAATAACATAAAAGGAAAACGGATGCATAAAAATGGAAAACTGAAATAGATATAACAGAATGTTGCGTATTTTACCGATGTATTTGAAGGCCAAATCGGCAATGCAAGCCACTATCGGTTGAGAAATCTCCATACCGTTTCTCTTAGCTGCTTCAATTAGTTGAAGATTTGAAAATTCAATTTAGTCCATTACGGAAATTCTTTAATGTTTTTTTAAGAAAAAGAAGCCAGAAAATAGAATCGTTATAGGGTGAAAAATGGACCTTCGTATTCGGCGATGGAGATGGCAGAGAGACGAAAGCGATCTCTCAAGAGATCGGAAACCGAATCGTCATCTTCCTCTTCATCTTTCTCAAAATCGCTCCTATCTTCATCGATTTCCATTTTCTGATCTGAGCCTGCTAACTATTCCACAGGTCGCAGTTCCGCCCGACTTAATGCGCCTATCTCGGAAAGCATTCAACAAAAAACAATTCCCAGTCAATTAACTTGTATTTTTAATAAAACAAAGATAAACATTATATTCAAAAGAAGTGAAGATCAGAATAACCAACGACCATTTAAAAAATTCATAAATCCTAAATTATGAATTTATGAACACAGGAAAGAAGGGGGGAAACTAAATTTAACGGTGAATAAAAAAACATACATGATGCTGGATAAGGTGAATTTCCCATTAAAAAATCAATTTCCCCATATTCACATTCTAGATTTCTTACTTTCTTTTTTTCTTTCCCACGACATTTTTTAAGCAGTTTAAGTAAAGCAAATTATTTATTCAGCTTCAACCATAAAAAAGAAGAAATTTCTACATAATCGCAGATCAGATCAAGGAATTCAATCACGAAAAATCCTTAAATTCTGAAACTAACCTACAAAATTGAGATTAAAAGCTTTTGACCTCAATGAAACAGAAACCAAGACTTACCTTTTGAACCAAAACTATTGAAAATTCCGCGAACCGTTTCATGAACTGACACCCGGGTTGAAAGCAACACGCAATTTAATCTTAAAAAAGAGCAATTCCGATAAGGAAAAAAATTTCAAAGCATAAAAGAAGATAGAGCAAGGGATTTAATCATGTTTTTTCCGCCTCACAGATTTGGGCCTTATTCATACTCCTACATCTTGAGCTCCATCATGGGCTGTCTCTAGGTATGGATGTACACGGGATTCAACCCGACGAGTTTCAGTCTGATTTAATTATTTTGGGTTTAGTTTTTTTTTAATAGATACGATTGAGCTTTTAGATTATGAATTTAGGTTAGATTAGATTGAATCAGATTCAAGTTTAAGGTGAAAATTACTTAATTTGATTCAGATATTTATAATAATACTCTCTCTATAATATTTTTTTTTCAATTTGATCCAAATTTTATCAAATAAAATTAAGATATATATATATATATATATATTTGTGTTGAGTCAAATTATATCAAACATGAGTTTTATTTTAAAAGATAGGTTGGATGAAATCACCATAAGTACTAATCAGATCTAATTTTTGATGAAAGATGTATTTTTATAAAGTCAGGTCAAATTAATCAAAAACTCGATCTAATCCTACTAATGTTTATCTAAGTCTAGGTAAGCTACCCATTGCTAAAAACCTAATAAAAGAAAATAAAAGGAACTGTCTATCTGCAAAGAGGCCCAGCAAGAAACCATTCTTCATGGCCAATAGTTTAGATTAATTCATAGTAACGCCGCCGGTACAGTAAAAAAATATTAGATCTCTACACTCTGTTTGGTCGCCGGCAAAATGCCTTCATCTTATAGTTGAATTTATCGGTCACAATTCCGCAAGAAACGTGCATTTTCGTTGTGACATGCATAGTTATTTTTGCTGTTTTTTTGTTTGTCATTGAAGGTGTTATCGCGAAGGTTACGGCAATGGAAATTGATGATCCGAATTCAAACATTTCCGACCTGATAAGCCCCAAGCTCTCAATCAATGGTCAGTTTTTAATGTTTCTTTGTCGAATTTTAACTTCAACAATTGTATCAACGATAGTAATTTGATGGGGAGATTGTAAGTTCTATCTGATTTTTTTTCTTATCGTGTTTATTTTGGCTCCCGTGTTCAGTTTTGCAGCTTCTGAAGTCTTCTCAGATGCAACATGGATTACGACATGGAGACTATACTCGTTACAGGTAAATTCACTTCGAAAAAAATAGAAAAATATTGAAATGTTTTTGTATTTGGATATTGTTAATATTTAAATGAATAATGTTGGGGCTGCAGGAAGTATTGCACTGCTCGTTTGAGGAGGTTATATAAATCATTGAAATTCACATATGACCGCGGTAAATACACCCGAAAAGCCATTACCGAGTCCACGGTCATTGAAGTGAGGTCTGCCTTGTTAATTTTGCAGAAATCTGAATATTTTTACAATTCGAACGTTGCTTTTATCGTTATTATTTTCTCTCTTTTTCGCTTTTAGCAATGCCTGTTTATTTGTGTTTGTGCACACATGTTTAGAGGTACTTATTGCCTTATTGGTGTCATATTACTTGTGAAGTGATTAGTTACAGTGTGTTTTAGAGTTCCTTGCAATTGACTTTGTTTAAATTATTTACTCTAGAAGCTTTTTATATCGGTTGAGGATTGGCTGTACTGTGCAATATGTATTCAAGTTACGTGGCTTTCCAAGTTGACTGTTTTACTTTGATTTGATTTAAAATAGGTATCTTCACATGTGATTCTGTATACGGCAGAGAGAGCTTGGAGCCATGCCATGGAGAAAAGACAGCTTCCAGATGGTCCTAATGCACGCCAGCGTATCTACTTAATTGGTAGATTACACAAGGCAGTAAAATGGGCTGATCTGTTTACACATTTGTGTTCTGTCAAGGGAGATTTCAGAACAATTTTAGAAGCTGAGGTTTATTTCAATTTGATTGTTTATTTGAATTTCTACAGTCTCCGACTTGCTTTTTTTGGCCTTCAGGAAGACAAAATAAAGCATATATAGTCGTGTGCTTGCATTATTTCTTTTCAATCTTTTATTTATTTCTTCCGGTGTTTTGGGTTAAGCATGTGTCTCTTGAGTGGCGAAAGGCGTATTTCTTTTCAAGCTTTTTTTCAATCTGCACGTTCAAGGAATATTTACGGCAGCTTCCAACGTTGTTTGATTCTACATAAGTGTCTGTAATGCATGCCCCTTCACGAATCACTACTAATCCTGGAGATTTTGTAAGCATTTGTAAAATAAATTGTACAACACTGTGTTCCAGACTGATTAAATGAATTCACATTCCAGAACAGGAGCCATCCATGCATTCCACGTTTTGTGGAAAATTATGGTGGCAAAGGGCACCAAAAAAGTTGAGGTGACTGACCAATTGATTCGATTGAATTTGGTATTGTTTTCAAACTTTCATTTCCAGTGTCTGATGATGATTTAGCATACACTCTAGGCCATTGCAGGTAGTGCTGAAAATGTAAAAGATGACCTAAATGGTCTTGATAAGACTGTTAGTGCTGTACTAGGACAACAGACAATTGAGCGCAACCAGTTGTTGGTTAGCATTGCAAAGAGCAAACTTACTAGGTGTCGTGATGATAAAAATGAGGAAGTCACCAAGCCTGAGGAGTTGGTTCGCTTATATGATCTTTTATTACAGGTGACCTAGAGAGTATCTGTTTTTGGAATGCCTTCACATAGGGAGAAGAAACTTGTACTAATTATTACTTTGCTTAATGATGCTATATTGGGCAGAATACTGCCGATCTATCTGATTTAGTTAGTTCTGGAAGAGATAGAAAACCTGAAGAACTGACATTTGCTGAAGAGTGTCAAGTTAAAAGTCTGGCCTTCCGAGCTGAAAGGTTAATTTCTGTGAGCTCCATGATGTCTTCCTCTTTATTGGATTGCACATTTTATGCTTAAATATCTGCATCAATCAATTCTTCGATAACATCCTACTTTCTCTGATATCTTTCTTTATTTGAAGGATGTTTCTTATCTAATATCTCGCACTTGAATGATGAAATTGAGTCTACTTATGAAGTGACACATTGTTTTAAAAGATTAATTGTCGGTGTCTTACAACAGGAAGTTGCCTTGCGAAATTGATATATGGACCTCTGTAATTCTTTGCAGGTGCTTCTACTTGGCAAGGTCGTATAGTTTAGCTGGAAAGATATCCGAAGCATATGCACTATACTGCCGTGCTCGCTCTCTTGCTGAGAATTCCCTACATAAGTTTCAAACTCACAGTAAAACCGGTCAGGTGTCTATATTTATATAGGGGTTTGCTTTCCCCACTATTTTCGGTATATTTTTCTGCTTTAACTGCTGGATGCATATACTAATCGGTATCTTCACATTATTTACAGGTGATGATCAAAGAGTTGAAGACTTTATATGATGAATGCAGATCTTACAGTTGTATCGAGCATGCAACCGGATTGAGGCGGTGAAGGCTCCAGAGAATCTTTCAAAGAAGATATCTACTATATCATTAAGCGGAACTGACAAGAAGGTATGAGGTATCATTTATATACCATAGTTTCATATATTCCTTCATCGACTGATACATATTTCGATAAAACCTTGCATGTGCATTGGAGAGAGAGACACGTCTCTTGATCCCAATTTCGCTACGTTGTTGTGATGTGTTGCTTTGGAGTGGTTCAGGTGGAAAAATACCTGCTGGAGAAAATCTCTCTGAGTCTGCAGTTAGCGAGTCGAATGTGAAAGCAGTTCCGCGTATAGAACCCTTCCCGCCAGCTTTCCAGTCGATACCTCGTAATCCGATCGTTTTAGATTTGGCCGATAGTTGTATCGATTTTCCATCTATCGAAAACAGGATGAAGAAAGACAAGAAGGGGTTCATAAGTAGGCTTTGGGGTTGAGACACTATCCGTTTATTTGATCTGCTTTTGACTTCACAATTCAACTGCAAAACTTTGGTATTTATATCTACATGACATGAGATGGTGGTTGATAGTAAAAAAAAAATTCGAAAAATTTATAGTAATTTATTTGACTCTGCGTATTTGGATATTGCTTTTTTGAATAATAAAATAATCATATGATTTTAAAAATGCAATAAGTTGATCCATTATTGCAAATTTTGAATTATCCGAAAATTAAAAAATAAATCGGATATATGAATTTTCTGGATTACCTTTCTTGCACACCCCTAGTGGTCCGTATGATAGAGTCGCAGTTAGGGGCCATATTGTGCACCTAATTGAAAGTTGGGCCAATTTATACAAAATATTGGAGGCCAAATTGCATATTAAAGCCAAAATCAAGGGCCAAAATGTACGATAACCCATTTCATTATCATATTCTAGAAAAAGGGGAAAGAAATCTTATAAAAGCACAAGGAAGAAGACACGAACAAGAAGGATAGTAAAGTTGTACAAGAAATCATAAATAAAAAATCTGATATTTTTTCAGAAAGGAAATCTTGATATTTCCAAAAATGAAGAAAATTGAGAGGTCCTAATTCTTGCAAGTTTGTCTTCCAATAACTCTTTTATAACAAAATCCAGGTTTGAATAAAGTATAATATTCAAACACTCTTTTATTAAGTAAAATTAAAACTAAAAAATTTAGAATAATAATGGTTAAACTATGCAAATGATCCCTTGACTATATGATACTATTTTGTTGAGTCCCCCAAATATTAAAAGTTACAAAATGGACTCAACAAAACAGTATTTCATAGGACCATTTGTGTACTTTACCCACTAATAATTAGTTATCTAAATTTAACATAAAAGATGATTTCTAATAAAAAAACATAAAAGATAATTTTTATTTAAAACATATAAATATTTTTAATGCATTATTAAAATGCAAATTTAAAAAAATTGACCTAAAAATGGTGTGTCAAAAATCTAATAATGATAACAGAAAGTCTAAGTGATTCTTTTAACATCCTTATACCCAAAATACATTAAAATGGATGAATCAAAACAAACCAAGAAAGGGCAAACTAGTCAGAGAGAACGAAAATATCTATGAACAAGAAAGGGCCAGAGATTTATATTGGA